TTTTACAGTTTGATTTTCACTTGAAAATTACATTGTGTCAAGCTCTCCTTAATTTTGATCTATAACATTTTTCTCCTCAAAAAAATTATTACATTATTTTAAAAAATCTACACCAAGTTGTATGCTGGTGTAGCTCGAGTGGATAAGGCATTGAACTTCTGAACAAGAAACTAGAGGTTCGACTCCATTTTGCAGCTATTATTTTAAATTTTTTTATATCATTTTAAAATACGAAATACTTTTGAAGTTTTATAAAGATTATATACAAACATATGTAACGTAACAATATTATGCACTCACAAAAGAAAAGATTTTAAGACAGCTAAAAAAAAAAACATCGCCAGGAGAAAAAATTTGTTGCGTACGTATGATGATTGAGAACTTATGTTATTATCGTGCTCAGGTAATTAGTCCTAACAAGCTGTGGATGGTCTGAAAAAAAAGTTTTTTGAATCTAAATGAAGAAAAAACTATATTAAATAAATAAGAAACTCCTTCTATCAAGAAGGCGCTGCTATGGAGGCAAAAAAAAAACCTCGTAGCTGGAAAAAAAAATTAAAACTTACTTTTGATAATAAAAAGCTTTTTTTGCTATATTTATTTTTTTACTATAAATATATGCTGTAGCTGGTTTTCAAAACACCTTAATATGCTTATTACGCATTTCGAGAAAAACGTAATTAAAAAAAAGTTATTTAAAATTAACTCTTTGTTAAACGTTTTTTAAAACTAATAATTTTTATGAGTTTTTTTATAACCCATTGAAAAAATATATTCAATAATGTTTGTAAACATATAAACTAGTTTATTTTGTAAATAATGTCAAAAATGATATTTTTAACAGTAAGGCGTTTTGAAAAACGGCTGCAGTATGGATGATACAACGAATATGTTAAATAGAAATAATTTGACGCAAAATTTAAAAGCTCTTAACAAAAGCCACTAAACCAAAAAAATTAAATATAATTGCTTAAAAATTTTATTATAGTGAAAAATTTTATTTTAGTGAATATAATAATTGTAGTTCAAAGTTTTATTATAGCACTTAAAAATTTTATTATATTGCGTTGGTTTTTGAAAAGAAATGCTATAAAAATCATTTTTTAATTTTAATACAAACTAACTTTTTTTTATCTTTGTTGCGCTTAACCGTCTCAATATAAACAATGTATATATAAACATATATGCTATTTGTTTATATATATATATATATATATATATATATATATATATATATATATATATATATATATATATATATATATATATATATATATTATATATATATATATATATATATATATATATATATATATATATATATATATATATATATATATATATATATATATATATATATATATATATTGTTTATAAAATGTAAAAAATCCACTTATATATCGTTTTATTCAGGATCGAATGTAATATTATTAAACTTATGTTACATACGATTCTATTAATTACAAGTCTTTTCAGCTTAAGCTGTTTTGTTTTTTGGTTTTTGTAGTTATGTTATTACATTGAAAAAAAATGACAAGATTAAAAAAACACAAAATATATTGTCACTTTTGATTGGAAAATTTGAAACTTCAACTTAAGATTTGCTCCTCTCTCGATAATTTATGATTTCTAAAGTTATGTCATCTGCTTCTTAGACCTTTAAAAATGATAGTCATTTAAATAAGATTTATTTCATTTTTTTATAAAAATTTAATCTATTAAAGATATATGGAATATATTTTTATGGGATATATTCTAATAAAACCAAAAGGTGCCATCCATAAAGGACATCATCCAAATAGAAAAAGAGGGGAGGGGTTTGAGATAAAAAGGACAAAAAAGAACAAGGAGAGGGGGGAGTATGGCAGAAAAGAACATCGCTTTATAGATTTTTTATTTTAGTTTAATTAAGATGAAAAAATATGTAAATATGTAATTTTAAGAAGATAATGTATAAGAATACTTTTAATTTTATTTTTTAAAGGTGTAGCAGCAGATTCAAACATCATTGGGAGATCAAATAATTTTTTGGGGGGTTTAGTTTGGTTGGGGGCAAGATTTTATGATGTCTTTTTCAAGGGGGTATAGGGGAAAAGAACAACTGGTGATAAAGGGTGGAGGGGGTCAAAAATTGGCTAAAAATGAAGACCTCCTTTACGGATGGCTCTAAAACTATTTATTTATTACTATTGTAATAAATACAATCTTTTATCAGTGAAAATGATATTTCTGTACCAGTTTTATATAATTTAATGCATTTGTACGCAACATAATAAAAATTAATAATAAAAATGTAAGATAAATGCAAAAGGAAACTTGACCCATAAAGGTTTATTTTGCCACAAACTGATTCAAATGCGCAAAATCTTTTTGGCTTAACTTTTAGATTAGCGTTTTAATAATATTTTAATAATATTCTTTACCTCTTAATCATAATCATAAGAATAAATTTTTTTTTATAATGACATACAAACGTCTGTAAGTGTAAATGTTTATAGCATATGTTGAGTTTCCAGACATTATATGGAATAATTATGTCTATCTATATATCTATAAAATAAGAAAACTTTAAAATTTTATTTTAAATTTTAGAAATCTTTTTTGCTATATTATTATTTTTTTGCTATAAATATATAAGCAAGATTGAAAAAATTTCAAAACTTATTATGCTAAGAGGTCTTAAACCCTCCAAAACAACACTGATGACAGCGCACTTAATCACTGACCTATCAATGAAATGCATTTAGCAGAAAAACAAAGGTAATTATAAGTATCTTATAAGCTCTACATATCCGGAAAAGGTGCGCATGTTTAGTTTTTTGCTCTTAATATTTTTTTCAGAATAAATTATTTTACTAAAAAATATTACGTAAATAAGGAATAAGTATATATATTTTTGGCTAGAAATAGATATGTAAATTGGTAAAGACCTGTATTTTACGGATCTGGAAAGCTAGAATATATAAGGAAAAAGTATAGAAAAGTTCGTTTTGGGATAGATATACTAAGACCTGTATTTTTACATAAGGGAGAGAATTTTTTGCAAAGCTTTTTAAAATTTCTAAAAACATGATTACATTTTAAAAATTTGTTGAGCATATGTCACAGTACTTAAGTTGTTAAGTGTTTACTAATTAGTTAAGTCTGTGCATTAAAGGGACAACTTTATTTCTTATAGGAAAATATTTTACATGCCCTGTTAATTTTAAAGAAAAAAATGATTTTACTTTAAAATTAAAACGCCAAGAGTCCTAATAAGCTTCAGATTCGAAAAAAAAATAAAAGTTTATTAAAGAAAAAAATAACCGCTGAGATGTTTTTTTTTTTTTAAATTTTATATTTCATTATAGAAATTTATTGAATTTATGAATTATTGAACATTTATGGTTATATCAAAACAAAGATTTTTATATTTATCTCTTTAAAAATTATTGAAATAAAGAGAAGTTATTTTGGTTGGTGTGGAATAGACTGACGATGACCAGTATTAAACTGGTCATGGTAAGTTCGTTGTTTGACATATTTAAATCATTTCATATTTTTGTAATATTTAACATTTTTTGACATATTTAAATCATTTCATAAAATGAAAACAATGAGTATAGTTTTTTTATAGTTATTTTCCTACTTCTTACTCAAATATATTGAGGTATAGATTTTATATAGAAAAGGTCGGTTTGGAATACATTTGCAAGACCCATATTTTATGGGTCACGACGACAAAAATTAAAAATAAAGCAAGCTGATAATTTGAACTTGCCATGTGGCGACCTTAAGTTTTATAAAACAGTACAGGGGTTAAAAAAGTATGTTTTTTATAAAAACATAAATAAAAAAAATCTAATTTTATATTTAAATGAAACTATTTTACTAAACTAATTACTTTTAAAAACAAATAAAAGTTCAAGTTTAACTTTTATATTTAATATTGATATAATAAGAAAATTTAGAGTTATTACATACAGTTATTAATTCACACCCCCGTTAAACATACAAAACCGATTGCGCAATGACAACACAATTTAGATAACCATTAAAATAGTATTATACTTTATTATTTTTAGGCTTATCCTTTATCTAAACTTTAAAATAAGGGATCCTCCAAAAATTAATCAGTTGAAGAAAACAAAAATGATCTAAATTTTTCCTCGCAGAGTCGTATGTTAAATAAAAAATCTATAGAGCTCATTAAGTTTAATGAAAATCGTCATCCTAAATAACTGATCTCTTCTACTTTTTGAAATATAAATTTAGCGTTGAGTAATTTGTAGGCGATTCCATAGCATTTTATAGTTTATCTATTTTTTTGCTCTTAAAGTAGTTTATTAGAACAAAATTATTTTACTTAAAAGTATTGAAGTAAATAAGGAATAGGTATAGAAATATTTAGTGTGGAATAGGTATGTATAGAAATAGTAGGTTCGGTAAAGACCCATATTTTACGGATTCGAAAAGCTAGGATATATAAGGAAAATGTATTTAAAAGCTCGGTTTGGAATAGAGTTACAAAGACCCGTAATTTTACTGGTCCGATCTCAGCTAGTAATTAATAATAGTGCATTATTTTTATATTATGCAGGAGTCAGATAATTCCTGATTTATTTTTATAATATTTATATATTGTGCTCTCTAACATAAAATGAGGACTAATGGGAACCCTATATTGTGTAATCACATACTTTTAGTTATTATAATTTTTATATTTTAAAAGCAAATAGTTTTTAACGGTTTCCAAATGTTCCAAATCCTTTATTATTGACTATTATATTTATCAATACAAGTATTGTTAGCAATTTTAAAAATATAGTTTTTTTTGTTATAATTATTACTGCCATCATAAATATTAGTTGCAGATTTAAGATTATAAATTCTCTAAATGACAATTTTATGTAAAAATGTATTTTTGTCTTTTTATTTTATTTTAAAATCTTATTTGTAAAAACTTCTAATTTTAATTTCAATACTTTTAAAAATATATGTTAAACAGAAAAAAAGCTTACCACTATGTCCCATAAACACAAGAGATATATTACAGTCAAATATTTGATCCTGACTGGCTAATGAGCTTTCTATATCCTTGCAACTTCTAGTAAGGTTTTTTGTGTCAACTGAGTACCAAATGTAAAAAGATCCAAAAACAAAGTATTTCTGACTAAATAGTAAAAACATTTAACAATAAATAAGTTGTATATTAAAAAACATTAACACATAGCATTAACTATAAATGCTCATCATGAGTTTTTGTTCTAAAAAAATACAATTGTAAAAATTTTATCTTTAACTCACACTTTAAAGAATTGAAATTGGTTATTTAGCAAAATTCTATATCAATATTTTATTTCTTTTGTAAAAACTTCTTTAAAAATCAATTAGTAATAAAACTAAATAAACATGTAACTTTTAAACAAAAAGGAAAAGTTTTAAATTAAACTTACATAAACAAATTACTTTCAATTAAGAGATTTGGTGTAAACCTTTCAAACCACTTTTTAAACTAAGCAAAATAATGCATATATATATATATATATATATATATATATATATATATATATATATATATATATTTGAATAGATATATATATTTCTATAGATATATATATATACATATATATATACATATATACATATATATATATATATATATATATATATATATATATATATATATATATATATATATATATATATATATATATATATATATATATATATATATATATATATATATATTTATAAATATATATATACATATATATATATATATATATATATATATATATATATATATATATATATATATATATATATATATATATATATATATATATATATATATATATATATATATATATATATATATATATATATATATGTATATATATATATATATATATATATATATATATATATATATATATATATATATATATATATATATACATACATATGCATATATACAGTATAGGACATAACATTTGCAAGCAACATTAAACAATGCTAAAAAGTGTTTCTAATTTTACATGCCTTAAAAACAAAACGAACTATACTACCACAGCAAACAGTTCAGAAGTCTGGAGTCAAAGCATGCCATGACAAGAGCAATCAGCTGACAGGTGACAGCACACAGGCAGAATTTCATTGACAAGTGCCATTTTGCAGCGGACAAAACAAGTATAACTCCACAAAATGTTGACCAAGCTGTATTAAGCTATCAATATTTCGAAACGAATCCTTTGTTGTTGATCACAGCCTAGCAACTTCAAGGCATAGATTCAATTAGGTGATCAAAGAAACTTTGTGGAATTGCTGCCCAGGCCTTTTGGATTTGTTCAAACAGTTGATCCTTGTCACGAACACCTTCACGATTAATTCTGTAGTTGATGATCTCCTACAGGTTCTCGATAGGGTTGAGATCCGGAGATAGAGGCAGCCAATCCATTACCGATAAGTGGCTGTCTTGAAACCACTGCTTGACTACTTTTGAAGTGTGTTTTGGATTGTTGTCTTGCTGAAAAATATTTATTTGCATATTCCATTCAGCATGAGGTAACATAACATTTTCCAGGATATTTTTATAAATAAAACGGTCCATTATTCCATCGATTCAATGTATTGGACCTAGACAGTTAGCAGAAAAACATCCTCAGACCATTACATTGCCTCTACCATGACTCACGGTCTTATTGTAGTAACGTAAATCGAGGCGTTATCTAGCTGGTTGATGTACACGGGATTTGCCATTGCTCCCAATGATGTTAAATTTCGATTCATCACTGAAGAGGACAGTTCCCTATTTCTGCACATTTCAGTCAATATGAGATGTAGTAAACAGGAGTTTTTTCTTCTGGATCTTTAGTGTAATCAGCGGTTTCTATGCAGGGCATCAAGAAAACAATCTGGCTTCAACAGCATGTCATCTGATTGATCTGTCTAATACAGGCAGCTTCAATTGCTTTTGTATCTCGACTGAAGATATCCAGGGACCTTGACGGAACTGACGATCATAGAATATGTTATCTGCTGCCAACTATCTATGTTATCTGCTGCCAACTTCCCCATAGAACAATATTTGGAGCATAGTCTTGATACGGTCCATTTTTTCACGAAATATTTATCACAAATACTTTTTTTTTGACATTCCACTTATGTTATAGTCAATAATTTTCTTTCTTAGTTCCAATCTAAGACTGTTGGGGGCCACTTTTGCACTTGAAGTCATAAAAATAACAAAAATAAATGATCATGCTTCTCAAGGCTTACATGTTACATTTACCTTGTGATGATACAATAATTCTCTGTGGAACACAATGTCTTGGTTGAATGTGGACTGTATTGATGTAATAAACACTTCTTGTATTTCACTTCCTGCATTGATGTTCTTCGATAAAAAAATTTGATAAAACTCACTTTGATAAAATGTCTTGATAATACTGACTGATTGATTCCATATACTGACTGAATTACATGTCAGTTTACATGTCTCTAATATAGTAAAATTAACCTGTGTGAACCTGTTCTGGAAGTATCTAGATGCTTCTTTTCAATGCTTCTAGAAGCTTCTGGATGCGTCTGGATACTTTTAAATGTTTCTGAATACTTCTGGGTGCTTCCAGATGCTTCTTCTAAAAAGTTCTGGAAGCTTCTGTGTGCTTCTGAATACCTTTATATACTTCTTTTATATATTAAAAAACTTCCGTGACATTGACACAGACCAGACAAAAGAAAATGAAACAAACCAAAAGAGATGCACTTGTTTTATCAGTTGCAAAATGGCACTTGTCAACGAAATTCTGTCTGTGTGCTGTCACCACTCAGCTGATTGCTCATGTTAAGGCATGCTATGACTCCAGAGTTCTGAACTGTTTGCTGTGGTAGTATAGTTCGTTTTGTTTTTAAAGCATGTAAAATTAGGAACACTTTTTAGCATTGTTTAATGTTGGTTGCAAATATTTTGTCCTATACTGTGTATATATATATATATATATATATATATATATATATATATATATATATATATATATATATATATATATAAATATATATATATATATATATAGATATATATAGAAATATATATAGATATATATAGAAATATATATAGATATATATATATATAAATATATATATAAACATATATATATATATATTTATATATATATATATATAAACATATATACATATATATATATATATATATATATATATATATATATATATATATATATATATATATATATATATATATATATATATATATATATATATATATATATATATATACATTTATATAAATATATATGTATGTATATATATATATATATATATATATATATATATATATATATATATATATATATATATATATATATATATATATCCTGTTTGTATAAATAAAATTTATACTGTTTAAAAGAAATTATGTAGTTCAAAATTATGTGATCATTGCAAGTTGAGGAAAACACTAAAGCATCTACCAGAAAACCTTTTCATCAGTTAGGGATATCTAGGTGGTCTTTGCAAATAATTTTGGTTGAGCTGCACCTTTTCTCATATAGGATTCAATTTATTCACACGTTAAAAACAAATAATGCACAAATACAAATTCAAAAGAGTCAATACTTTAGGAATTGTGCTAAGAAAACAACAAATTTTTTCAGAAACTTATAATGAGTAATGGAGCTCATTTTCACCTTAATGGCAACGTCAATAAACATGATTGCAGAATATGGGGCACCCGAAATCCAAGAATATTTATTGAACATCAAATGCACCCAGTTACAAGCACATGTATATATATATATATATATATATATATATATATATATATATATATATATATATATATATATATATATATATATATATATATATATATATATATATATATATATATATATATATATATATATATATATATATATAAATATATATATATTTATATATATGCATATATATACATATATATATATGCATATATATACATATATATATATATATATATATATATATATATATATATATATATATATATATATATATATATATATATATATATATATATATATATATATATATATATATATATATAAAGAGTCTTTTAATGTAAAAAAAAGTCTCTTTCGACTACAATTTTAAAT